ATCCAGAGAAATATTCTGCCTTTTCAATATTTCCTAGGATATTTCATTTTTCTGGGAGAGGGCTGGATGATAACTTCCCACAAACCAATCCATTCAATAGGTGCTCTGAAAGTACAATTTGAAAGAGTTCGATTCTTCCATTGCCAAAAGAGTAATGGTGGTGGAAAACTCCAGCTAGAGATTTCAAGTGAAAGGTCATATGTGCAGCAATCTAACAAGGCCAAGAGTAGCCAGACCAATTCCTACTTTAGTAATCAAAACTCTACAGTTGTAGAAGTATTATGTTGGGACAAGAAGATGGAAATCAATGAAAGGGAAGCTGCTAAATTTTAAGCTATCTCAGCTATTGGCTAGAGATAGGATGACCAGACTATCATGAGATGTAACCATACTTAAAAAGGCCGCCTTCTTGTACCATAGTTAAAAGCTCTTGGTTGAATTCCAAGAATTTCCAAGATTTGCTGTTTATAACAGCAAATCAAGATTGATGAATAATCCTTTAGAAATACTTATGGATAGACTGATGGGCTGATATTTATCTTTTAGGAGAGTATTTTAAACATTGTAGCATATAATTAAAGTAGAAGTAAAACCTACTTTATTTGGGCCACAATAAAGTATAAATGAATATTGCCACTATTTTTTCCTCTTTTTTTATAGACTTCTGAAATCCCTTTCATTTATGCAAATGTAGTAACAGTAACAAAAACCTTCAGTGAAGTAAATTACCCAGGCTCCACCATGACTTCTACTGTCTTGGATACCACAGGGATTCTCTTTCCTTCTACATTTAAAGAAATCACCACTCAGAAGATTGAAGAAGAAACAACAAAATATACAATTTCCAGCATCCTCTCTGAGCAAAGTAAGTTGTTAGATCTGAGTAGCAGATCCCTTTCTCTTAAATTAGAAAATGGGTACTCTCTTAAGTGACCACTTACTGATGTGAAAATGTCTTCTATTTCAGCCACTTCAGCCACTGTAAATTATTGATGATCACATTCAGAATTTATATGTTATACTGATATTTATTTCTGAAATAATTTGGAAGAAATTTTAGTTTGAAGATCTCACTTCCATTTCATGTTTTGAATGTTTTAGACTGGCAATAGTTCTTCCACCATACAATTTCTTCAGAAACAATTCACAGAAAGAACTCTTTGTCCTTCTCATTTTTCTTAAGTATGTCCAATTTTGTTTCTGTTCAGTTCAATTATGTTATTCAAGGATCAGAAATAAATAAGGATAAAATGACATTTAAATGATAACAATTGCCTAAAAGAGACCCTCTTATGAAGCCAAGATCAGTCACAAACAATACTTAATTTCATCTTTGAATATTATTTTAAACAATGGAGAGAGATTCCTAATCCCGATTTTAAAACAGTTACTTTAAAACAGCTTAAATTCTATTATTCAGAATGATGAAAATATGGCAGAAGGAGAGGGAAATAAGAAAAATATGAGATACCTTAAAATAAAGAAAAAACAGTAATTTCTTGGCAATATTCTTCCTAGTTGAATGAGTATGGAGAAGACTCTGCCATTTTTGATTGACTAAAATGAAGGTGTATTTTTTTAAAAACTACAAATATTCTCATTTTAATAAATTTTGCTACTGATTCATGAGAAATTATTTCCATTCATTTCTCAACAGGATTAGCTAATGTTTAAACACATTCTTTTGGAATAATTCTCTTAAAAATAAACATTTGATTTTGGTTTAGTTAATGTTTGTCATTGTTGTCATTACAGAAATGATACATAAATTTATTTTATTAATCTCTGCAAATGTATTTGTTTTTCTAAGATATAGCTGCCTTGTGAACAGCTCCTTCCCCTGATATCAGGATGATCCCATCCCTTTTAATCTTCTGGAAAAGCTTCAAGATATGGTTTTTCCCTAAAACACTGGAGCCAGGCTGTCAGTAGAACCTGTCCTGTACAGAAATTTGATAATGAGATCAATTTATTTAGGGGTTTTTCCAACATTTCTAATTTATTTTTATGTTGTGTTTTTTGTCATGAGCCACGGAAAATCACAAGGATGAAAGGGGTATTTAAATACATTCTATGAATGAATGAATGAATGAATGAATGAATGAATGAATGAATGAATGAATGAATGAATGAAAGAACAGATGAATGAATGAGTCTGTGTGTGAAGGAATATACCTGGTAACGCTGCTAAGAAACAAAACATACAAATAAGAGCCTTTGCTTCCGTATGGGAATTACACCCCTCCATAATCTCCAAAATATACTCTATGCATATTTAGAACTTTGCATTGGAAATTTAAATGCTTGTGCTTTCTGTGGAATGCCTATCTAGTCAATTCATATGTTTGGCACATTCCAAACATCTCGACAGACTGATATTGACTTCCTGAAATCAATAACAGTTTTGAGTTGAAAGGACTCTTGACACATAATCACCCTGGCCAGTGGCAGTAATTTCAGAGAAATTGAAAGTGCATCAAGATGTGTCATTGATTCCTCCTCTGATTAGAAATTGTGCAATTGACTCTTGACATGTCCATGATGAGAACAATGTCAGTTGTTTATTGGGCAGAGAGTTTCCCATTCTGTGAATATGCTGGCTTCACATGTCAAGATCATACAGCACACATCAGCCGACCAGCAATAATGTAGACTGTGATGAAGTATTTCTGTTTGGAAATTTGTTTTGGAAGAAAGTGTGAGTCTGAATATCTAATCTTATTTTTAAAAAATATTTTGGATGTATAAGATATGGCAGTAATAAGAGATCAATTTGCATACTCTTTCATAAATTTTCATAGATTCTCTATGATCAGAAGTTGATAATCACTGTTAATGTTTCTATCACAAGTATTATTTACTGTCTGCAAATATTGTTTCTTGCTACAGATGTGTTAAAAATGTCATGAAGTCAGTACACAGAAGATTAAAAAAAATAAGTCCACCTGCGACTTTCCTTTGATTAATATTTTATATTTTGAGGATATGAAACATGATATTAGACTAATGCATATTGTCTCTCTCTATATGTACTGAATTTAGCTTAACATGCACTTATGAGGGACTTTTAAAATTGGTGCTCTATTCCAGGATTTCTCCTGGAAGTTTTGAAATTCACTTTGATTTTTTCCAGCAAAACCATTTTTATGGTAATTACATTTAGATTTTCAGTCCTAGGAATGTTACAAACTAATCTTCAACATATGTGCAGCAGCTGCCAAAAAAGCCAACACAATTCTAGGCTGCATAAACAGAGGGATAGAATCAAGATCACGTGAAGT